GGTGGGTGGGAAGAGATTAACCAAAGAACTTGTATGCATATATACATAAACCATGGACACAGACAATAGTGTGGGGAAGTGGGTGGGTGCAGGCTACAAAGGGACAATAGGGGAAAAAGGGGACATCTGTAATTCTTTCAACAGTGAAGATTTTAAAAAAAGAGAAAAAAAGGAGAAAATATATTTAAATAAAAGTTGATCTTAATTAAATTTTCTTTTATTCACTCTTTAAAAGTTTTTTTAAAAAGAATTTCTTATTTTTTAATTACAGTTGACATACAATATTATAGTAGTTTCAGGTCTACAACATAGTGATTAGACATTTATATAACCTTTGAAGTGATCACCCTGATAAGGCTAGTACACATCTGACAACATACATGGTTATTATAATAATATTGACTATATTCCCTATGCTGTACTCTACATCCTGTGACTGTATTTATAGCCAGAAATTTGTACATCTTAATCACTTTTCCTTTTTTACCCATCCCTTCATCTCCCCTCCCATCTGGCAACCATCAAAATGTTCTCTATATCTGTGAGTTTGTTTCTGTTTTGTTTGTTTGTTTTGTTTTTTAGATTCCCATATAAATGAAATCATATGGTGTTTGTCTTGCTCTGACTTATTTCACTTGGAATAATATCCTGTAGGTCCATCATGTTGTTGCAAATGTAAAGATTTCATTCTTTTTTATGGCTGAGTAATATTCCATTGAGTCTCAATTCCTACCAATCTTGATGTGGCTTCTTCTTTATATCCTTAGTTATAGGATTTAGTTCAGCTAGATTTTAGGCAGTTCCAGTGTGAACTATTATTTAACAGAAAAATATACTTCGTACTTTTATGTTTTGTGTGTGTGTGTGTGTGTGTGTGTGAAAATGCTAGAACAGCTATTTAAAAGCAGAAATCTAAGAATTTACATTAAAAATGACACGTGAAAGATCTTACTAAAGGTCACAGAAGAATATTAAAATTATTTTTATTTTTTAAAAAATATATATTTTATTGATTTTTTACAGAGAGGAAAGGAGAGGGATAGAGAGTTAGAAATATCGATGAGAGAAAAACATCGATCAGCTGCCTTCTGCACACCCCCTACTGGGGATGTGCCCGCAGCCAAGGTACATGCCCTTGACCGGAATTGAACCCGGGACCCTTCAGTCCGCAGGCCGATGCTCTATCCACTGAGCCAAACCGGTCTGGGCAATATTAAAATTATTAATTTTCTCATGTGAGAGGCATGAATATCCCTTTTTAAAAAGTAAGTGCTATAAAATGTTATGAAAGTACGACTGAAGTGAGTTCTTACATACCCCCCAAAGTAATAAAATGAAATTTGATTATGAACAAATGTGGAAGTCCTACTGGTTTTTGTACACTTGTACAAATTAGCAGTTCTATGGGGACCTGAACTTCTCCATTAATTTGATTCGCCCACTTGTTCCTTGTGGTTCTCCTAAGGAGAACATTTGCAGTATTGTTGAAGTGTGATTAGGGCATTACTGACTCAGTAATTTGCAAGTTAAAACTGACCATTGTAGCCAGTCTTCAAAATGCAACCAGGCATTAAAACCTTAATGCCTTCACTTTAATTTGAGTGAGGATAGTGACCTAGTTATTTTAGGGAAAGAGGAAGCAGCATTTGCCTTCCAAAGATGCTTTATATTTTGGATACACAATCAATATACAAAGGTGAGATCCACCAGATTTGAATTGGTAAAATATGTAAATCTTTGCCTACTAAAGTGTCAGAGATTAATGTCTAAGTAGGAGCAGGAAGCCCCAACTGTAAAATTTTACAGGGCAAGACCATTACTCCATCCGCATAATGGGGCTTGATTTAGAGGCTCTATTTTAAGATCACACATACAGCACCAAATGCAGAAAGCCGAGCTTTGTTTAATTTGTCTGGGGCAGTGCCCTAATTTTCTACAACACTATTCACTCCTCTTTCTTAAGAATGAATAACACATCTTCTTTATGGAACTCTGTGCATCTTTCATTTGGGAGCAGTAACTTTTCCAAGCTCCTCTATTCGGTTCCTCTTTTATGACCTTTTTAAAAAGAATTCTACTGGATTACGATATTTTAAGTTGCATTGTCCTTATTGCCCTTGTGTGCCCATGCAAAGAACAAGCGGTATTATTTTTGATGTGATATAACACAGCATTTTAAAGTTGACAGATGAAGGAACTGAGGCCCAGAAAACACAAGGCCATGCAGTTCGAGCAGCAGGTGATAGCTCTGGCTCTTTGTTACCCTGCAGGAGAGTTTGCCACCAAATTGGGTGTCATTGCAGGGTCACTCTGTGGCTATCCCTTGAGACTTGGAATTTATGCCATTTTGGCAGTAGCTCAGAGGACTTTATCACAGACATGAATAACCTGGGGACTCTTAATACTTCCTTCAGATTATGATGTGGTACTTTATCGTTAAGGCTCAGCCTGTTCAAAGTGCATCTCTTCTACACAGGAAGTTCCTCAAGACGGCACTAGAAGTGACTCTCTTCTCAAAGGGTTGGCCAACCACCCTGCCCAGAAGTTTTGAGACCATCTTCCTGTCCCTATCATGGGACCCCATGTCTAATTGGTTCAGTCACTCAGCACACAGAGGGACTGAAAGTTCCAGACTGGCATTCATATGGCCCCCTTGGTTACTTGGCTGGGGAGTCAGGTGAAAGAAATAAACAAGCATTTTAAAAACCCTGAATTGGGGATAGGAAGATAATAGAGTTCAAATTCCAACTTCAACAAAATCAGTTGTGAAACCTCAGTTACCTCCCTCTTCTAAGCCTTGGCACCTCCAGCCGGGCAGGTGTGTGCCATACATCTGCTCACCAGTTCACTCCACACACCCTTACTGAGCACCTGCTTTCAGCCAGACACTGGGTAGGCACAACTGGATCAGAAATAAAGCGCTAGATGCTGCTTCAAAGGGTTGCTTACAGGAGGTGGAGCCTGTGAAACCAAATGACAACTGCAAATTTTTGTGACAATTTTGTTAGAAAAGCTAAGCAGAGAGGGTAAGATCATTTTTAAAAGGGAAATAGAGAAAATGATTCCTTTTTTAAAAGTTTTTTTTTTTCATTAGTGGTTTTGTCCTTTTGCCCACTGTGAAAGGACAGAGGTAACACTGAATTTTTTTAAAAGGGAAATAGAGAAAATGATTCCTTTTTTAAAAGTTTTTTTTTTCATTAGTGGTTTTGTCCTTTTGCCCACTGTGAAAGGACAGAGGTAACACTGAATTTTCATTTTGCACAGGGCCCTGCAAACTATGTATATTTACCAATCACTGTCTATTCCCTTCTCTTGATATAGTAGTCTTATGATGATGTTATCCCCACTATAACTTTATGTACTTTAGTTTATTGTCTGTTATCTTCCACTAGAGTATGAATGCCATAGGAGCATAATCTGTTTTGTTCAATGAAATATCCCATGGGCTTACAACAGTTTACTAGTCCACATGGTATCTACTGGAACACAAACTTGCCATGCTAATGGTCAGTTGTATGTGTCAACTTGGCTAGGCTACTATGCTTAGTTATCCAATCAAACACCAATCTTGGCGTTGCTGTGAAGGCATTTTGCAGATATAATTAAAGTCCATAGTCATTTGAAGGAAGGGAGACTTCCAAGATAAACTGGGTGGGTTTGATTCAATCAAGCGAAAGACCTTAGCAGGTCAGCTGAGGTTTCCCTGAAGAAGAAATGCTACCCTTGGACGGCAGCTTTGGTCCATGCCCGAGAGTTCAGCCCACCCTTCCTGACAGCATCCCCTAAGGATTTGACATTTGCCTACCCAGCCCCTATAATTGCATGAGCCAATTCCTTGCATAAATCTCAATATGTACCTCCTACTAGTTGTATCTCTCTGACTTAACCCTGACTGATACAGCCACCTTTTAAGGTAGTACAAAGTTGCCAGGCCTGGCATGTTTTTAAATGGGAGAGAGATTTGCCCTTGTTTCCCGGTGAGTATTGATTTGTATTTTTAAAACATGTACTGCAAATATTCATACTAATCTGGAAGTTTCTGTCTTTGTTCTTAATTGATCCCAGTCCAATGGAGGGAGTAGGGTTTGGGGGTTTCAAAGTTGTCTGGGAGAGAAACATGGGTCACCGAGAATGAGAGCGAAGTTGGTTTGCTGATGAAGAAGAAAAAGGAGAGGGTGACTCAGACGTTGAAGTAATGAGGTGCTTCGGACACTGTCCCCTATGTGCGGTTTTAGAAGGATCCCTCTGGCTATTGTGTGGCTATACTCTGCACAGGGGCAAGGCTGGAAGTGGTGGGACCAGTTTGGAAGCTGACCAAACAAAGATGGGGCCTGGACTGGCTGTATAGATAGTGGTGATGAAATATGCTTGGATTCTGCGCATATTTCAGAACTAGTGCCAACAGGAGTTGCACACAGAATGGATATTTCCTTAGAGTCCTGGCCTGAGATAGCAGATAAAGTGGTTCATGGGGAAGTAGTACATTTCCCAGAGTTCCACAGCCCAGGCAGAGCAGAACGGAGGCAGAGAGCAGCAGTCTTGTGTTCTTAACATCAGTTTTTTTTTCCTTTTCCATTATCTTCAAACTTTCCCCAAAACTGCTCCTCTAGCATCCCCTTTGGAGCATCTTCCCTTCTTTAGAAAATTCAGCCTGGACTACATCCCCAGGATTTCCTTTGTCTATGTAACTTTGGAAGACCCTCTCAGAGCAAGGTCATGGGTGACTACCACCACCCTGCATTCTCATGATGTCTGCCCAAGGACTGGCTGGCTCCCACAGTTTCACATCAGCAATGTCCTGATAGTGTTTCCCCTCCATTTTACTAGCATCTCTTGGCCTCCTCTATTACGACTGAGAGAATGAAACAAAGATTTTGCTACTAGGTTTTATGGACAATGGCACCACGTATTGTTCCACATGATTTACCTGTAGCTGGCTTTTTTTTCCCTTTCTGCTTTCCAGCACTTTCAGACCATGCTGAAGTCTAAACTGAATGTCCTAACACTGAAAAAGGAGCCTCTCCCAGCTGTCATCTTCCATGAGCCCGAGGCCATCGAGCTGTGCACCACCACGCCCCTGATGAAGAGCAGGACTCACAGCGGCTGCAAGGTATGTGGCCCGTGGCCCTCGAGGCCCTCGTGTGGGGCAGAGGAAAGGACATGTAGCTTTAAGACTCTTGCTTCGCAATGGTAACAGTTTTAAAGAATGAAAGTGTTAAATAACTAACAAAGTAAGCTGATTGGGTGATGGTCGTATGAATTCATAACCTGCTTTATTTTTCTTAAGGATATAGCACTCTTCATAATTTGAGGGTAACATTAAAGACCTAAGTTTAAGGATAGGTAAAAAAAAAAAAGTAGTGTTCTTGCCATATTGTTTATAGCCCTGGGGAACTTCACAAGAAAGCTCTTTCCATAAGGACAGTTCCTCCCTTTGTCTTTTCTGTCTGAATAATACATATTTTAACAAGCGAAAAACAAAACAAGTTTCTCAACAGTTGTACTCTATGAGTCCTGTGGGGGTAATTTTGCATTTTTGTTTTGCTTCACCTCTCAAAATTTATACTAATATTCATGCCTGAGAATGCATTAAACACATGTTTTGTTTATGTAAACTATAATGCCAACATGGGGAAAAAAAACCTGGAAATTAAGTGTGTAACTTGGATTAGTATAGAAGTCAGCGTAGAGGTAACAAAGAAAATATTTGACTCATATTTTGTCATCAGAAATTTGTTCTGAATTTTGAGGGGCAGGAGAATGCTTGTTTGCACGTGGATTTCTTTTATAACCTTGGAGATACGCTCCTTACTGCTTTCCCCGTTAGGAAAGCAACGATCCATTGACTGTTCCTGTCAGAGTTTTCTGTCCCCTCCCCAGTTCTTGCAGCAGTGATCACATTGGAGCCTCCCGAAATCTTGAGTGATGGTGATGTGCACAAAACCTCACACACGTCCATTCACTCTACCAGGACTCAGTGGGTGCTCACTGTCTGCCCGACACTGGGGGCAGAGTGCCCAGCACCCAACAGCATTTTCACAGGGCTTAACTGCTCCTGGGAAGAGGAGGGAGGAGGAAATACAGGCAAAGAAACATCACAGCCAGTCTGAAGGATTTGTGGAGGAATCTTTGTGGCAGAAGGAACAGGGTTGCTGATTCTCAGAGTGGAAATGGTCTTGCATGCTTTAGAATGGAGAGCAAGGGGCCAGGATGGCTGGGAAGATGAGAACGTTGGGGCAAGTGGTGGGGTTGGGTGGGGGTTCGAATCTGAAGAGCCTCATTGTCATGGCAAGGAGTTTTTGTTTTAATTACTACCAGAAACTATCAGAGGAATTTAGGCAGGCGAGTAATATGAATCCATTTTAAAAAGTGATTTTATTTTTCAGTTAGTTTCCATTCCATGTTATTTTGCATTAGTTTCAGGTGTACAGAATAGTGGTTAGATAATCATATATTTTACAATGTGTTCCCCCCAATATTCCAGTACTCACCTGAGACCATACATAGTTGTTACAATCCGATATAATAAAAGGGTAATAAGCAAATTGACCAAACCTAAGAATGACCGGAATGCCCTCGCCCTGGCCGGCCCCACTCTCGAGTGGGCCCTCCCCACCCCGATCAGAAGCTGGGCCGGTCTATTCTCTGAATCTGTGTCTGTTTTAATTTTGTTTGTTCATTTATTTTGTTCTTTAGATTCCACATATACACTTATATGAAATCATATGGTATTTGTTTTTCTCTGACTAAACTATTTCACTGAACATAATACCCTCTAGGTCAGTGATGGCGAACCTTTTGAGCTCAGCGTGTCAGCATTTTGAAAAACCCTAACTTAACTCTGGTGCCGTGTCACATATAGAAATTTTTTGATATTTGCAACCATAGTAAAACAAAGATTTATATTTTTGATATTTTTAAAATATATTTAAATGCCATTTAACAAAGAAAAATCAACCAAAAAAATGAGTTCACGTGTCACCTCTGACACGCATGTCATAGGTTCGCCATCACTGCTCTAGGTCCATCCAGTACTCTCACAAATGGTAAGATTTCATTCTTTTTATGGCCAACTAATATTCCTACCATTTTCTTATTGTGCATTGTTGGTGGGAATGCAGATTAGTGCAGCCACTATGGAAAACAGTATGGAGGGTCCTCAAAAAAAGTTAAAAATGGAACTTAGGACCCAGTGATTCCACTTCTGGGTGAAAGAGTGACTTTAGATGGTAACCGTGCTAAGGTGAACTTCCAGCTTCCCCAGAACAGTTGCCAGAGACTCCCTTTCAGCTGGAGAGAGTGGATCCCCAGGACTGGCCGAAGGTGACGTTGGATCCAGTGCTGTTGGTGACTTGATGATATAAAGGAATTGTAACAATACTCACTAAAGTTAGAAGTAATGAGATTGGGTTTTACATCCTTTAGAGATTTCCTTAAGTCATTTTATATCCTATTCTAGTTGGGGAAAATTGTCCCTCAAAAGCACGATGAAGTCAGTAGGGATGAGTGTAAGGAGAAGAGTTTAGTTTGGTAAGGTCTAGGTTATATTTAAATGGGAGGGGAAAATACAGTTACAGAGTAAGGAGATTTAACAATCCAATCCAGATAGGAAAGAGGTGTGTGTACATACACACACACACAAATATACACACTCTCTAAGAGAGAAATTTGGTAGGAGAATAAAAGCCATCATTTTTCTGAAAAGGAGTATAGGGTTTAAGCTTCATGGTGTCATTTTATTTTCTGTTACTGCTTGAGGTCATGCTCATTTATTTCACCTCTAAAAGGATGTTGAAAACAATAGATCAGAAGACAGGCCACAGGGAGTGAGGGTTGCCCTGGTGTAGTTGTGGGGCTGGTAGAGAAAGGGAAATCACGATGATTTCGGCTGGACACAAAAAATTCTGCCTTCAAGGTGAAAAACACATCCTCAAGGGCTAGAAAAAAATGACAAGTTCTCCATCTCTAGAAACCCTGAGGAGGGGCGTCTAGGCTTAGAGAATTGTAAACCTGAATCAGAGATCTGGGCCAACACCTCTTGAATTGCTTTCCAGCTTTATGATTTTATTTGAAGGCAGTAAACCTCCAATGTATCATTGTCCAAATTGTGTACTATAATACGCTTCCTACACTTAAATGGACTGTAAACCTATTGGAGCTACAGCTTTTAACTCTCAAGGACAGTGTTGCATTTGTGTTCAGAGTCATATTCTTTTGTTAAAAAACAAAACACACAAAAAAGGTTAGATTTTGAACCGTGATATTTCTGTTTGCATCTCCAGACCTCCCCCAGTTTTCTGACCATCCCTTGGAACAAAGTGCAGTGTTTCCTCTCTGGTTCTTGCGAATAACTTAGCTCACGAAATGCCAGCTGCACAAGGACCTCTCTCTTGGGCTCACGCCTGCCAGGAATAATGAGCTTGGTGCAGCCCGGGCCCAGCTGCAGGGCCAGTGTACAGGGTGGGCACCTTCCATCCTCATGCAGGGCTAGGTCTCTCTTTCTGCTCAAGGTCCCTCAAGCCCTGCTTGCATACCTTTAGGTTTGGGGAAGGGATAGAGGCAGGAAGAAGCAAAGGAAAGGGGAGTTGAAAATGGGTTATGGTGAGCCCTGGCCAGGTCCTGGCTCCTCTCTGCTTACCCACCTCCCCTGATCTGTATTCTCCGTGGGTCCTGATGGCATTGCCTGGCCAGGCCATTCATGTTGTGGGCAGCTGGGGCTTTGTGTGTTTTCTCTATTGCTGCCACTCTTTTTTTTCCAGTTGCGGTGGAGTTCTTTAACTGCACAGCCCACTGCATCCCATTAAGACACTCCCACCAGAACCCTTGCAAGAGCCCTTTGCAGTATCAGAGATGTTGAGTCTGATTTTGCAGCAACAATGGCTTGCCATTCCTGCCTTCTCCTGCCCAGCACAATGCAATCCTAGGTAGCTTCAGCTTCTTAGCAAATACTTATTTAATTAATAGTCATTGAAAACCTACTGTGTACATGGGATTGTGGAGAAAGGAATCCAAGTAGGTGTGGTGGGTCATGCAACTTACAGCTAAGTAGGAGCAATAAGGTGAGTGTGCCGCCCCAAACTGCCAGGGATTCTGACTCCCGTGTGTATCAGAAACCCCTGGGGCAGATTTCTGGACCTTCTTTACAGAAATTTTGATGAGGCACTCCACTTAGTGATGGGAACAGAGCTTGCACTTAAAAGCCGACCATGAATTTACATGAAGTGGTGCTTGGACCCTGCTGTGAACTTGGGGACTTGAAGCACAGGATGGTGGGTGATAAGGGCAATGTACTAATAAGTGTCGTAAATGTGTACACATCCTTAGGTGGGAGCTGGGATGGGGAATGGTACGTGGGGGCTAGCTGGCACTTGTAGAGTTAGAATGGGTTTGCTACACAGCTGCTCAGGGGGCTGATGTTGAAGCAAGGGCCTTAGGGCCTGATCTTACCTGGGATGATGCTCTGGTTCCCAAACCTCACCTCCTTTTGAGTGAGGCAGGTGACTTGGCATCCTGAGAATCCCTGTCTTAGGCCCTGCTGTCCTCTTCCCATTTGCAAGGGCAGTAACCTTAAAATAGTCTAATTTCCAAGAAGAACTTCATTATTGTTAAAGCATACCAATTTTTATATTACTCTTTTTGAGATTCTTTGCAATCAGGAGTGACAGTAGTAGTCCCTTAGCTCTCAGAGAGGATGTGGTTGGTTTACAGTTTCATGGGACGAGAAGAGAAGTTTCTGAGCTGAAGGCTTGCCAGGCAACCCTCAGATGCTACCATTTCATGCATGTGCTAAACAGCCAGCTTAGAAGTGAATTCCAGAAATCTCACTTATAATAAGAGCTCCTGATTTGAATGCAAATATGTTGAGAATTAGCATCTCATATCTATTGCCTATACTTATATCTTTGTGTTTATTTGGTCAGGAATGTATTTAATTAGAAATACAGTTATGTTTTCTAATTTTAGCCAAAGCCTCAGTTTTTTACCCATTAACAGAAGGAAGAAACATTAATTATATCATGTTGTCATGCTTTTCAAATGCATTTTTGCAGCCCTATCTTGCTGTAGGTCCTTTGGGCATTGCATGAATCAATTATGCCAATTGTACATACT